TCAGTAAAAGAAGAAAACCCAGCTTTCTGTGTGTACTAGGAACATGCTCCAGACTTTTTCAGTCCAATGTTCAGAAATGCATGACAGAGACAGAGACTGATGCCTGAAATAACTTCTCTTTAGGTAGAGATTTGTGTCTCCCAGAAGAATAAAATAATCTGTGTGAGTTTTCTCAGTTTCTTAAAAAATCTGAGTATCAATACAAGGAAAAGATCATTCTTTAACCTCCAAAAGTATTCTCTGCAGACAGTAGGAAAGTGGTTATTAATTTTTAATCTGCCAATTGAGCAGTAATCTTGTCTAGCAAGTCCTTGGTTAATTTTAAAAGGGAATGTGAAGGTGGTTTATATAAATCTCTTAAAAATCATACCCTGAACAAGAATAGGTTCCTTTGCAAGAAAAACCTATTTGCTGTCTCTCTCATTCCTGATGAATGGCAAGAAGAGGATAGGTTTCTCATTTCTATGCACAACCAGTAAATACCGCAATTTGCTAGTAAACTGTTTCTTTTGCTTTATTTCTCAGGAGTCTTATTTTCTGTTTGCTAGGTGTCTTCCCTTTTTTTAAGGAGTGGAGAAAGGGGCTTTTGAACAATCTGTAGTTTGAATTGTTTCTAACATGCTGCTGTAGCGACTGAACTTCCTTACAAAAGTCTCTTTTCAGTCATTGTAACCTCCTCTTGCTGTTACGATTTTGTCAACAGACATCATTACCACTCTGTCTTTATAAAAACCTGATTTCCCAGTGACTGTAAAGGATTGGATCCCATGAACTTGTTTTAAAAGAGCATTTAGATAATGTTGTACCTACAAATACAGTTTCATTTGAGACATGCCCTGCTTCTTGTCATTCTGGCTTTCTTGCAGCAGAGTCCAAATTCATCTTTTTGTAGAATTATCAAGCTGTGCATGCTACAGCATCTTGCTGGCTGTTGTATATGGTACATCCCATAATAAACATTATTGAGACTGGTATTCAATGGACCTATCTCATTTGAATGATTTTACCCTCAAAAGCAAGATCAGTCTGGAATTAGTGCAAGTAAAAAGTCCATCACCAAAACCATTTGTTCTCTGGTGGACAGATTGCATGAACTTTGTGATATGCCATCAAGCTCCAAGCATGTAGTTTGGCAAACTGCTATCAGGTATGGAAATTTCAGCTATGGAAATCTACCTCTCACCTTTTTCACAGTTCTTGATCCATGCTTGGACCACCTTGTTATTTTTGGTCTACCTGAGCTTAAGATGCCTCTGTCATGGGTTCTTTAAGCATTGGGGGGGTTGCAAGTATTTTTGTCTTTCATTATCATTAGTACTGATGTTCCAGTCAGTGTCTGAAACTTCTCTCTTGAAGACAAGGGTTTTTTGAATAAAAGCCTATCTATACGTGCAGCTATTCTTCAGCATTTCCAACTTTAACTGTGCAAATGCTATCTGGCATAACTGTAGAGATAATCTTGTTTTTCAGATCAGGAGTTGACATTGCTTGTTATTCCTGAGCCAGTTACATCCTCTGTTAAATTTTTAGCTGGTAGAGGCATCTGTCTTCTGTCTCTCAAAAGCTTCTGCGTGCACAACTGGTCGTCCCAATAGTATAGATGTTTTATCTGTAGCATATCACGCTACCAGTTTTGGCGGTAATAGAAATCTCCATGTTGTTACAAGATCTCTTGGCATATCATTCTTACAAAACTTAATATTGTATACAAGACCTGTGGGGTTTCTCACTTGCATGTAATGTGCAGTTATCTGCTAACATGATATCATGAAGTCTGCTTGCTTTGTGGTAGAGGAGAGTAATGAGCTGTGTGCTGGAATAATGTTTGGTGTTCATCTGGAAAAAAACAGCTGACTAGTTAGTGTAATAAAGTAAAAAAATTCTTGGTGAGTTCTAACACCATATTCTTTGTATGCTGTTCAGGGAAGACAGAGGGGACAGGGCAGATGTGCATTCATGTTTATCAAAGTAGCTTAGTCTCCTCAAAATATGATTTACTATCTCAGAACTTTAGATGATGCAGTCAACTATGTCTTAGTCTCTTGTGTTCAACAGAGTTTCTGGTCTCAGTAATGTACTCTTCAGTTAATTCTGCATTAATTCATGAGATCTGGTGAAATCTACTCCTTTACTCCTTTAATGAAATTTTATCTTAGGATAAATTTTATCTTATGATCTTATGATATAGAAACAATTTATGTTGTGATGTGTTCTGTTTTAGCCCTTTGTAATTGCCATAATTTTCTTGGATTTCCTCAGAACTAGATAGTCTCTAACAAAATCTGTACCTTCCCCCCAGAAGCATAGTGAATTGGGATAGTGAAACATTCCACAATTAACGTTCTGCTGTGAGGAAACAAGTTACTGTTCTTCTTTTGGACTTAGCTTCTTTTGGTCTATACTGCTATTTGCCTATACTTTGAGATTTTTCCTAAGCTAAAATGTCAATGGTCATTTGATTCTCCTTCATGAAATATTTGATACATCCATTTATGTGTTGATGTGGTGCTTGGGGACATGGTTTAGTGGTGGTCTTGGCAGTGTTAGGTTTATGGTTGGTCTCTGAACTTAAAGGTCTTTTCCAACCTAAATGATTCTATTGTTCTCTGTATTTTAATTCAGAGGTGTCGGAAGCCCTTATGTGGAAGCAGGTTGGTTAGATCTGCCATGTCATGGTCACCTTGTTGTTTAGACATCCATTTGTTATCAAACTAATATAGAACTCATTGGTCAGTAAATCTTTAGTTTCATCCTCTAATACCTTCTAAAACTATGGGTCTATGTTTTCCTAGGTAGAGTTTTTAGGATTTGAAGGTGGACTGGTAAGCTGTGGGTTAGAGCAGGACACTTCTTGGAGGTCTTGACTGTCTCATTCTGACTGGAGAAAGCCTTAAGTCCACCCTGACTGGCTAAAGCCCTAAGTAGCCCAGTCTGATTGCATAACAGGTGCTGCTTTGAGCAGGAGGTTGGACTAGAGACATCCTGAGGTCATTTCCCTCCTGAAGGTGCTGTGACTCTTGATTCTATCATCTTAACTTAATGAGCAATTTTATATAAAAATGTTGTAGCTTGATTCTGGTTAACATTAGTAAGAGGTCTCAGAAGAACTTCTACACTGCCTGTGATCAGGGTTTTGCTGCACTTGTCACGCTGCAGTTTTCTTACATGTCAAGAGAGGATCACTTTACCTGAGTCATCTCGAAGTTCTAATAGCTATTAATTGGTCAATTTGGTAAGTGCTTTGTAAACACTAAGGAATTTGTGAGTGCGAATTAAATGGCTTCTCTCTCCTCTTTCAGTATAATATTTGCATCCTCTTTTTCTTACGTTACAGTTTCATGACGTTAAAAGAAACTATACAGTTATTACTGCCTAATCAGGTGTCAGAATCTTTTAGTGCAAAAACATGCAAGCTGATTTTGACAAGGTGTAGGAACGGGACCTCTGGCATCTTGAGAGGGACATCTGTGCTTAGGTTGATGTCAGTTTAAGACAGGAGTGCTTCCCAGCTTCTGGGCCTGTGCACAGACCTTTGCTGTGGTTCACATTTATTGTCTGGGCATGAGTTAACTGAGCCGTGGGAAATTTGGAGGGGCTTTACGTTCAAAGGAGTTACAGCCATATAGATTGGACAGGGATTTCTTGATGTTTTTAGGGAGCCGGGGACTCTGTTTTGCATGTTTCGGCAGGCAGTTTAGATGTAGGTTTGAAAGATGTGGGATTACTGGATGCTGACTTCCACTAAATGCTGAATGCAGTAGGAGAGGAGAGTGGCTTCTACATGAGGTAGTGCTGCTAAGGCACCTGGCTGCACCTCACTTTTTACCCAGCATCTGCTTGTTTCCTCCTGTTTTCTATGAGTATGGTCACTTTCTGATGAAAATAAGAAAACTACAGTCTTCTAAATCATACAGAAAACTTTACTTGCCCTGATATGATCAGTTTCTTAAGGAGTTAGTATTGGTCTGTTAGTTACATTAGCATAGTTTCTCCTCTTAGAGAGCACTTCTCAAACTTTTAGAGATAATGATTTGTCCTATATGTTTTCTTGAGTTTTCTTTATATTAACAGCATTTTAATAGCCTTTTAAAGACACTATATAAAAATGTGTAATGTGGATACAGCTGCATGGCTGTTTTAGAACAGGTTTGTTCTTGTGTCTGGGGTAGTGTCTTTTAGAATCTGATTTCGTCCTGTTGCTTGCTTCAGTCTGTTTAGGTAACTGATAATATTTGATTTTTAAACTGCATTTGTTTTGCAGTTTGGTTGCTGTTGAATTTCTGCTGTATGCAAAGAATTTTAAAAGATTTGGCAAATCCAGAAAAGCAGTGGCTGATGTGTACAACTCATACTTGTGGGTCAGCGAGACCTTTTGTTTCTTAGGTGTAGTTTGCTACAGTAGTTGAGAACATTTTGTGGAGCAAATATTAATGATTTTATACTGCTTTGTTCATTATACTTTCTAAAGAGCAAAGCTTTTGGCATTTCTTTTGGTAGAGGCTGTATGATAGTATATCTTTGTCAAGTAGGTGTTGCTAATAAAAAATTTATAATGCCTTTTGCAAAATTGTTTAGTCATACTTGGATGCACCAGTGTAAATAAATCCCTTTTATGCTTCAGATACTGGTAGGTATTTTTTCTTTTGGTTAGCATCTTAGATGTTAGCCAGTATTTTTCACCAATTCCTTATGCTTAAATGCATTCCTTATGCTTAAATCCTTAAATGTTTGTGCATATATTTAAGGAAAAGAAAGAAAGAACAAGAAACCCTAATACAGAGCATTAGGCTCTATTGCTCACCTCACATAGACTTGAAGTTGTTTCCAAATGTATTCATGCTGTATAATCTAATTTCTCTAACAGATAGAAACAGTGGCAAAGTAATTATCAGTATGCTGGGATGACTGTGAAAGATGAAGTCTCAAATAAGGAGTAAAATACTGTATTCGTACAAAGTAGTTTTATAATGTCATCAAATCCTGTTTTTTCCATCTTCTAGATGATGAAGCATGCCTGGGACAATTATAGGCAATATGGATGGGGACATAATGAGCTCAAACCAATTGCCCGGAAAGGACATTCCACCAACATATTTGGTAGGCTATATTTTGTTTGTTTTGTTTTTTTGTTTTTAAATATTTATGTCCTTGCTATACTCTTTGCAAGTCCACCCAAACTTCCTAGCAAATTCTGTTTCAATACAAATCTTTTGAAATGCGGATGACAGAAGTGTATAGATTATTTCAATGGTACTTCAATTAATTACTTTACTAAACAGTCTTTTGAGGAGTAATGTGGTGTTGTTGTTGCAAAAGCTAAGCTGTGTCTATGTGCACTGTTACTTTGTCTATGCATATATATTTATAAAAAATAAAAGTTACAATTCATTGATGATATTTTGGGATGCAATGAATATAAATTTGCTGTTTAAAAACCAGCATCATCTTGTCTAGATCTGTGTTTAGTTCCACCAGAATGTGATACAAGATAAAATGCATGTGCAAGATGCTGAAAAACTGTTAGTACCATGATGAAATTTAAAGTAGCTTCTGAAAAAAGATCTGGATAAGGCAAAAGTGTCATTGTTACTTGATGTGCGACTTGTGGATCCTGAACCTGTAGACTGGAATGAAAGAAAAAAACATTCAAAATAGGGAGCTTGGGGGTAGGGGTAAGTTTTGAAGAAATTCAGGGGATGGGGTGAGAATATTTCAGCAATGGAGTGTGAAATATAAGTGTTACAAATGGCATTTAGAATAGGATGAAACAGAAGGTAAAGATCAAGAAATTGAATAACCTTGTGTTGCATACATGTGATCAAACTAGATGGCTTTTCTTCCTTAAAATATCAGTGATCTACAGCAGTACTGCTTTTTTGGTGTAAATACACTGGAACAGAATAAGTAAAATAGTGATTTGAAAGCGCTAAGTGTTTTATTAGTACTCCAACTAGGAAAGAATCCATTTTTTTTTGTCCCCAGTTCTGTAGGACTGTTGGTTCAAAAAACCTGGATGTAACTGTTGAGGAATGAGCCCTGGAGGTTCTCTAGGTTCATCCTCTGGTATAGCAAAACACATAACCTTGAAGTTAATGATTAAGGTTAAGCCTGGATTGTTCCAGAATGCGCAGCACCTAAGATGGCCAAGCCATGAAGTTCATGCATTTGTTTTGAAACACAGACAGGAGAGCTGCTCTGAGACTGGGTAGGGTTTTTTAAATTCTGTTCAGGGTTTCATCTGTGTTTGTCCACTTTCTCTGCTATCTGAGGAAGGTACAAATTTATCATAAGCACTTTTTACATCAAGAATGAGTGTGACTATACTGTGTGTACCTTAAGTATGTTAGTGTTAGTTATAATAGTTTGCTTGAAATCAAGATTTTATTGGCTTTTATTGTGAGGCAGTTGGCTAATGAGTTTGTGTGCGGTTGGTTCTCATTGTAATTGGTATTTGTTTTATTTATCTTGCTTTAAACCTTGAATTTGTTTCTTGTGGATGATAGAAATACAGATGAGGATTGTGTCTGTTTTTCTGTGTTTAGTGCCTGAACCCAGAATAAATTATTTTGACTTAAATCAAAATATGGTTAACTTTTTGTTTTCATTCGTGGGGAAAAAATAAACTGGCAGAGGAAACTCATTCCAAAAGAAATGTCAAAGGACTTATTTCAAAAGTACTGTAATGCTTAAAGGGATTTTTCATTTTTTTGCTCTGTCCCTTCCCCCAGTCTCCTTAAAATTTCTCTTGAAACCATTCTCATAGCTTACCAAATAAACATTCTTTATATCCAAATGGTTTTCATAAAATTTATTTGCATGATGAACTTAAACCTTAAGTAAGTGCTGGACATGGAGAAGAGAGGAGAGGTTTGACTAGGTACACTGCTCCTTTCCCTGGCTCTCAGCAATAGAGAACCTCTGAGTTAAATTTTCTGCAATACTTAAAAACAAACAAAACAAAAAAGCTGCCCACAAATAAACCCCTCCCCCCAATCTGTAGTGCATAGAAGCCTACTTAAATCCATACGAGAATAATTTCCGCTTCTGTACAAGCCCTGTCTGCAATAAGGACTGTTCACCTTTACTGCAAGCAAACACCTTGGAGTCTGACATTGATGGCTTTTGGTCATGCACTGGAACTTACACTTCGGTATGGTGTGAAGGCTGATACTTCTTTCACTACCTTATATTGATAGAATTGTTCAGGTTGGAAAAGAACTTCAAGATCATGAAGTCCAGCCGTTAACCTAGGACTGCCAACTCCACCACGAAACCATGTCCTGAAATACCATGTCTCACATCTTTTAAATACCTCCAGGGATGGGGAATGAACCCCTGGGCAGCCTGTTCCAATGCTTGCCAACCCTTTTGGAGAATACATTTTTCCTGATATCCCATGTAAACCTCCCCTGGTGCAGCTTGAGGTGATTTCCTCCTTTATATCGCTTTATAAAGAAAATGACTGGGACAGGTGGAGTTGTCTGAGAGCTTTGGAAGAAGAGCAAGTTAGCATGCCCAGGACAAAAAAGCCTCTGGACTGGATGAGGAATTTGAAGATTGAAATGGAAGGGTCTAAGTTGCAGCCAGCACTAAGCATAGTGCAAGGAGAGAGTGTGAGGCTCGAGGGAAGACCAGAGCAACAGGCTCCTGGCATGACAGACAGAAGGACATTTGTTAGGTTCCCAGAGAGTATTGTGTGGTATTCTTAAATAATTTCTCTTTGCTACCTTGTACATTGACACTGCGTTCATTTCTACTAGAAAAATCTCTTCTGAAACTTCCAGTGATGTAGTTGCATGTTATCTCTAATTTCATGGCTGTCCTTTATTTATTTTTTTTTTATTCCAGCTGATGAAGTTGGGTCTGACAGCGAAAATCTTCGTGAAAATGTTCATCTGTATGATCATGTAGTCTTTGCTGTTGAATTTGCATGCAAATCTGTTGCTTAATTTGCTGAGTAAAATTTTAGACCAGCCTTGGTTTGTAACCCAGACTCTCTGTAAGTGAGGTGTTTTCTTTATATGGCAGGGAAATGTTTTCCTAATGTTTGTTTTTAATGTGACTGACACAATATTTTGAAGCAGTTTTAAATTACAGTTTAGTCTTTTATTTCCTTGCATTCCTCCTCTGCTTACTTCTATATGTCTCTTAATGAGTCTGGAGGACCTCTACTTTTTTCTTTTTGGAATGCTTATTCTTTGGTGTTTTGGCATTGCTGTCTGAAAGAAATGGCAAGCTTCCTCTACATTCAAGTTTCTGATCCTCTCTTTCCAGCTAACTCTAGCAGATGATTCCCTAAGCATTTGTCCTTTTAAAATCCAGATGCTATTTTGTGCCATTTAATTTTTAGCCGCATCATGTTATGGTTGCTCTGTTCAAGGCTATTTCATATGAAAATCTTTTCTGAAATATATAGTCTTCATTATATACCCGGTCTAAAATAGAATCAGCTTTTGTTGATTTGGTGGGTGGTTGATGGAAGGGGGGGAAAAAAAACTGGTCCTTGTACTGAGGACTGTCTAGGCTGTATTGTTATTACTAGTGCTTAACCAATTTCTATTACTCATAATGACACCATTCCCAGCAGTATTTGCCTTTGTAGAAGCATTACATAATTCTTCTTGAAATCTGATGCTATTTTTAATAAAAAGCTGTTCAGCAAAGCCTGTTTTTATTATTCATCTCAAAGATTATTTGACCCAAACTATTTTCTGCCATTACTGTGTTCTGTTGTACTTCCATTTCAATTCATAGCATGCCTGTGAGATTCAGCGAGGAGATGGTATCGCTGGTTGACACTGCAACCCTTTGCATGAATCTTTGGGAAATCAGGTTTACTGATAACTCTCAAGTGAGGTAAACGTGATTCAATTTAGAAGGCAAATGAGCCATTAATCTTCCCTGATGGACTCCCCTTTCCCTCTGAACCAGTGTATATCTTTATCTATGCCAAGAGGAACATCAGTGTTCCCAGCATCACAAGATCTAGCAGGGTTCAGGCTGGGGTCAGAGAAGTGGGGAGAGGAGGTGGCCTGCTCTGCTCTCCTAAATCTTAGGTTTAAGTCACTAAAAAAATAAGGAAAGGTGATAAACTTTAAAGCAAGGTGCTCTGTGCCTCACTGAAGCATGCCAGCAAGAACATTTGTGGGCTGCTTCAATTATTAGTTTGACTTTTCTAACAAAACCTGCTTGGGGTTGCTTTAGTTGACCTGCACCTAGGAACTCTTCCCAGTCTTTTTCAAGATGTTTGACCTGGTGACTGTAGATTGTAAAGCAGAACCTGCTAAAAGTGTTGCCTATCAAACCGTGTGGTCGGTCAGTAGCTAAAATCTTGAACAGTACCTCTTCAACAGCTGGGTCACACCATTAGTAGTATGGTGCTGGTTTGGGAAAGTATGATTGGATATTGGTGGGCTTTTAAAGAAGTTTATATTTAGATAACGTGAAAAAAACCTTTATAGGTTCTGTATTGGTGAAACAGGGTGATAACTTGCTCCTGTTTTTGTGAAAATTGCCTGTTTTTGAAAGGGCTGATAATCTTAAGATTTATTATTTATTCCTATCCTAAAGATAAAAGACAGTGTAAAAGGCAAGAAGAAAGTACAGCAGAGAGGTATAATTTCTCTTTCCAGTTTAAATTTTTACTTGCAGCTCTGCTGGTGGTTGTAGCAGCTAAGCTAAAAAAAGTTAACTTTCTTCTTGGACTGCTTAAATTGCTGGAATAATTTGATGAGAGCCGCAGGGTGTTATTGCAGAGGTGGGGTTGTATGGGATCTGGGTCAAGTTCTCATTAGAACACAAAGGATGAAGAGAAAAGACTGATGGAAAATGATGCATGTAAGATAATGAGCAAGCATGACAAACACTGAGCTCACTTCAGAAGGTTTTCTGGGTTTAGTGAAAATCACAGCAGTTGATGGTGTCGTCGGATTCTCTTGCTGTAGCGAAATATGATTGGATTTGCTTTTGAGGATCAGAGTAACAATGTGAAATGTGCTGTTTAAGGATGATTTGTCCCTGCATTTGTTTGGTGACCTCTAGGTGAACATCTTATGGAAACGCCTTTGAACTTACTAAGTCCAGATATGCTTCAGTGT